AGGGAGGTGGTGGTTTCGTGGATATACAGTTTCAATTTGGAAAGGGTTTGTAGAAATTAGATGTAAAACAGTGTGCGTGTTCTACTAAACCGTACACATCAGAGATGGGCACAGTGGAATGTCCACACATTATTTTTAATTAACCTCACACCAAACTAACAGGGAAAACTGACACAGGCAAGTTCTGGGCTCATGAGTCCATCATTTATTCCCGCCTTCTGAAATCAAGTGGCTCCTGCTAGCTAACCAGCAGTTCTCAAACATACTGCCTTAAAGTGAAACTCACTTATCTAGATTATGGTTGTGGCTAGGCGATTTGAGGGTTATGTCAGGCTGTCATGGCACAAGCTGGCTGGTGTGTACATGCTACTCTGACATGTCTCATCTCTGCTTTGTGCCATCTCTCATCCTCCAACAAGCTATCAGTTCATGTTCATGTTAACAACATGAACAGTTTGTTCATGTGAGGTGATGTCAGGGATCTCCAAAGGTAGCAAAAGCAAGCAGATCCCCTTGAGGTTGTGGTTAACACCCATGTAAAGGTCCTTTCTACTTAATTCTATGGTTCAAAGCAAATCATAAGGCCAACCATGATCCAAAAGGTGGAAAATTATCTCTGCCAATTGATAGTAGAGAATTTTTGCAACTTACTGTGTGAATTGCACACATATCAGGCCCTGAACTTAGTGTTACAGGTAAAAAAAAAAAGATAGATAGATAGATAGATAGATAGATAGATAGATAGATACAGGTGGAGATAGAGAGGGAGAGAGACAGAGAGAGACAGATAGATATAGATATAATGCAGTCTGGTGCAGGAGGCAAACATGTATATAAATAATTACAAGGCATAGTGTGCTGTAAAGAAGGCAGTGCAGGATGCTGGGAAAGTGTGTGTGGAAAGGCAGAGGGCAAAAGCTGTAAGAAGAGGCAAGGAGACCTGGGACCAGATGATATCAGGACTGGCATGGAAAACCAATGGTCATCAGACAGATGAAGAATGAGGGAAGAGGACTTGGGCAGAGGGAAACACATTTGGAAGCCAAGTGCTGCCCTAGGCATATGGAGGGGGGCTTCCCTAGAAAGTAAAGGCAACTGGAGGCGAAGCTGGGTCTCAATGACACCTAACTTACTCTGCTCACCTTTGATGGGGCCGTATAACCAGAGGCCTGTGGCTGCATGCTGTGTGGAGCTGCAGTATAGAGATAGCTTGGAAGGAGGTGATCTCAGTGGGAGAAGAACCCCTGCTGGGGTCGGGGGAGCAGGGTACAGGACAGCCAATTCTGTAAGCATGCCCAAGAAGACTGGGAAATGCCCCCAAATGCCAGCCAGCAGGAATGGAAGCCAAAGCTATGCCCCACCCCATGTGGGCTCAGACTATCAGGCCCTCACTAATGTGGTACCATCGAGTCTTTGCCTGGGGAGGGCCCAAGGGTTTTTGGCCCGGCCTGAATCCTACAGGTGCAAGGTATTCTCGGGGGCCCTGAAAACTCAGCCTTTGATCCAAGTTCCACACAAATCCTGCAGCTCTTCCCATACCGGGCCCAGCTCTTTGGACTGTTTCCAAGAGACACCTCAAAAATTCAGGAGGGTTGTTCAGCCCTGAGACAAGAGTGAAGAAGTCAAGCAGCTCTCACCCAAGCCAGTAGCCACTGCCTTGCTCCTGTGGATTCAGGGTGTGGTCCTGACAAGGATAGACTGCCATGCCCACCCTCCCCGCCAGCACGCTGCAGGCAGTGGCAAGCACATACCAACTGATCAATACTTGGAAGGCACTGGGCCTGCTGTGAAAAGGAATCCCCTGGTGAGCTCTTTCATAAATTGAAAAATTCTTCTGGAAGTGAATGATCGTCCCCAACCATTAAATCAGATTTCTGCAAAGGTAGAGGCGCAGAGCACAGAAAACAAGCATGTATGGAGAGGGAGGTGACGCCTGAATCCCAGACACCTGCTAGATCTGGACCCAGGCTTGGCATTCCTGGTGCAGCCAGTGTTGCTGCTGGGACTAGGGATGTGGCTAGAGTCATTGCCAGAACCTTGACTTGTACGGAAAGTCTTTGAAACATCAGAACACACAGGAGTGGGATGTTGGCCTGGCTCCAGCACTAGCTAACTTTACAAGCACACGGGATTGGATCTGCTTTCCAAACAGTGTGATGACCAGGGAGCCACAGAACTACTTTGTCCTACAGGAACTGGTACAGGTACCAGGGCCACCTAACTGCCCATGACAAATCCAGAATAAGAACTAGGACCAAGGAGCTAGCGAGATGGTTGATTGGTTGAGAATGCCTGCTGCTCTTCTAGAGGACCAGAGTTCAGTTGGCAGCACCATGTCAGGTGGCTCACAACTGCCTGTAACTCCAGCTGCTGGGGATCTGATGCCCTCTTCTGGTCTCTGCAGGTACCTGCATGCATGTAGGGAGACACACAGACACACACATACAAACACATATTCTTAAGTTTTGAAAAATATTTTCAAGTTTTAAGATTTGGAATCCTCGCCTAAAATTCTCCCCCACCTCTCTCTTTGCTCATAAGTGACATAATCCACCAGGCTCACCCAGCTGCAGGCTCTGTAAGAACCCAAGCTTCACAATTTACATGTGCCCCGCCTGGTCCCACAGGTCCTCTCTGAGCCCCCACAGGCTTGTCTCCAGCCCAGGCCTCTCGCCACTTCCCATGCCTTACCCTCTCTTTCTCTACAGGCTTACCCAAAACCACTCTTCCTCTGGTCCCTTCCCAGATGTCCCTTTGCCCCCTCCTGCCCTATAGTGGCCGAGGCCTCCATGCTTTCTCTACCCTTCGGTCTCCATCAGGCCTCTTCTTCTTACTCCACAATCAGCAATATTGGAATCTAGTTCAGCGACACTGGGCACAGTAGGTTCTGAGCATATGCTACCTCATTAACATTCAACAAGCAGGGTGCTGGAAACCCGTTATTTTACCTTTCCAAGGCTGCCTAGCTCACAGAAGGCAGAGGTCAAGTTTCCCTCAGGTCTGGCTCCAAAATCAAGCTCTCTGGATATAGGTTGTCTTCCTGCCTCCCATTGGGTTTCCTACATCACTCCCATCCAGTCTGGCTATCAGATCACTGGGGAACAAGAATAACCTCTCCACTTTCCTACATACAATCCCCTGTAGCACTCTCAGGCCCCAGAGCTCCTTGGCGTGGTTCTCAGGATATAGTCTCACCTACCAACCATGGCGCTCCCATTGCTGTCTGGCTTTCCACTCACCCATACCCACCCACACAGCCCAAACCCTCCAGCCTTGTCTAGGGCCCTGCTGAAGGTGGAGGGCCCAGCCAGAGTCTTCCACATACGCACCTGCGATCATTCCCCCCGTAGTTCCAGCTCAGCCTACCATGTGGTTAGGGGTCCAGGACGTCGTGGTCTGTGGCTCAAGGGATATTTCCACCACCTCAGCCCCCTCATCTTCAGTCTTCAGCAGAGCCCAAGCCCAGTGTATTCTTGTGAAGGAAGGCCTGCCAGACTGTCGAGGCCCCACTCACCCTATTCCCATCCCTGAGCTGGACAAGATCATGTGACCCCACTGGTCTCTGCAGATACAAGTAGGAGCTTCAGATCCTGTTGAGAGATACGAATACAGAGGCTCAAAGAGAAATAGAGGACCTGCCACAGACAGACTGGAGTAACTCACCCAGGGACACCTAACCACCCTGTGACTAACCCAGAATAAGAACTATGGGTTAGGGGAATCTCGGTGTTCAACTGGTACTGACCCTATGTTCAGGCTTGAAGTAGGGGACACCAGAGGGTCATTCTAGAAAGTCAACTTCGCTGAACATAGATGTGAAAAGCTTGGAGTGATAGTAAGGGGACATTCTTGTCATTTCTGTCTGATGACAGTCTAAGTCACCCTGACAAAGGTCTAGGCCTCTGATATCCAGCTACTACATGCCAAAAAGAAGAAGGGTCCCAGTTACAGCCAGATGTGGTAGGGGCAGTGAGAAATGATGCTACCCCCAAAGTCCTAACTTCAACAATGGGAAAAGTACGCATTAATTAAATGGGCTGACTGGCAGGCTCTTCTCTCCTCCCTTCTTGCCCTTGGGGTGGGTCTGGAAGAAAAGGATGGCATCCCTAGGTCTGGAGCCCACAGGCCTGGATTCTGTCTGTGCCTGCCCAGGTGGCCAAGACTCCAGGCAAAGGTAGGTATGTACCCGCTGGGGCAGGAAATACCCCTCTTCCATCCCAAGCCACTTCCTAAGGCCTGCAGGGGCTGCAAAGCAGCTTCCCATTGCCAGATGCACAGGCAAGGCTGGGCATCCAGGAAGAAGAGCCCAGAAAATGGGACAGATGCAGGGAAACACCCCACCCCACCCAACCCCATCCCTTGCTTGCTTGCTTACCCCCAGAAGGCCCCAAAAGTGTGAGATGGAAGGAGGTACCTGCCAAGCCCTCGCTGGGCCCTTCTATTCTCCGTTGCCCTTCCCAGGAGACTTGTTCCATGCCATGGCTGGAGTGTCTAACAGAAGGGGTGCTGTTTTCGCAGGGTTTGTGGGGTTCTGTTCCTCTGAGCCATGCCCAGCCCATCTTACATCACAATGCCATGCTTTACTTGCTACATTGGCACCATTGGCATTTGGAGACCTTATTCCATGGTTCTAGGATAGATTTTTTTAAAAAGCTGTTTGTGGTAATGTATTTTCTGTTTCCAATTGTCAGTACGGGAATCTTTCCCCGCTCTACTTCTTTCAATATCTGGGTTTGATTTTTTTTTAATCATATTTGGGTTGTTTTGTTTTTTGCTTTTTTAAGTTGTTACTCCCTTGGTTATGTAGCCCCTCCCAGTGGCTGCTTGTTTACGCATTGTTTGTGGCCTCTTTTGACTGTCAGTGCTCAGCCAGCCTTGCCAAGAAACAATATCAAGTATTTTCTATTTCTCTACTTCTTGGGAAAAAAATTTTAACTGAAAATAAAAAATCAAAACCTCTTAATGGGAACCTGGCCCTGTCTGTCTTCTCTATTCTGCAGACATGTTGAAGGAACTGAACCAGCAGCGCAGAGCGAAAGCGTTTACAGACCTGAAAATTGTTGTTGAAGGCAGAGAGTTTGAAGTCCACCAAAATGTTCTAGCTTCCTGCAGCTTGTATTTCAAGGACCTGATTCAAAGGTTTGCCTTCCTTCCAGCTGTGGTCGGGTCTGTTCCTTCGTAGGACGCTTTTGTGTCGCTTCTCTCCCCTCTCTTGCAGGTTCCTGAAGCGTGACTCCCTGTCACAGAGCCAGTAGCCATCTCTCCTCTCCTTCCCCAGTGCCCACACACACACACACACACACACACACACACAGCCTCAGAGCAGCCCTTGCTCCCACACACTGCCTCACTGGCCACCAGGAGCTAGCCCACAGCAGGCCACACACACACCCCAAGTCCTATGTTCTTAGCAGAGCAAAAGCCCTTCCTGAGACTAAGAGAACAATAGACTCCATTTGATGGGATCATTACACACTGCTCCGTCCCTCAGGGTCCCCAGATCCATCATCACCATTGTTGATGGTGAACCTAATGCCAGGAAAGCGTATGGAGTCGGCCATCCCCACTGAGGAACACCAGGCACCCCAGGCACTGCTCTTCCCCAGCCTGAGTCAGGGAGAAGAGCATGTAGGCCAAGCCTCGTGCTTGAACCCTGGGCACTAAGTGCAGACCAGGTGTGTCCTAAACACGGTCTCTTCAGCCTTCAGCCTCAGCCTACCCTGGCCCCATTCGGCCATTTCTTATTTCTACCTGGACCGATGTAAATGGTGCCTGAGTATCTTTGGTTTTCCATTTTGTTGATTTAGGAAAAAAAAAATGGTTTTTTGTTTTGTTTTGTTTTTTTGCTGTTTCATACCCTTGCAAAGATGTCAGGGCCACCTCCCAACTCCTTAGTGAGGGAGAGCAGCTGAGGGGCCAGCCCAGGGTAACGCTCACATTTCTCTCACCCATCAGCAGATTAATGCCGCTGCTCATTTTGCCTTGCAGCCTCTCCGGGGCGGACGCTGAGCCTGGACAGAGCTCAGAGTGGGAGGACAGGACCTCTGCTTGCTTCCCAATGCTGTGTTTGGATTTGCCAACTAACCCCAGAGCGACTGTGTTTTGTTTCAGGATGGCATCTCCTTTCCTGTCCCTTGTGTCCTTTGGCGTAGCGCCAGGCCGCCGGGTGTGAGGTTCCACTCAGCCTCACTGGCCCTGTGCAACACAGGAGGGGCAGGCTCTGTGATTTCCTGGACAACTCCGTCTCCTGCCCCCGTGCTTAGGTTCCCTGTGTCTGAGGGCAAGGATTAGAGGCACAAGTCTGGGGGAAGAGTCGTGTCCAGAGATTTCTTCTTTTTATAGGAAGTTCTGCGAGGCAGTGGCAGGAACATAGCTAAATAATCTGGGACCTTGGTCTCTGATCCAAATGGGCTCCAGAATATAAGGATAAAGTAGAACAGTGACCCAGCCCTGGACTAGAACCATGTGTGTCGGGGGAGAAGCCTTTTAGTGCCTTTAAAAACACATCAAAGCCAAACTTCAGCGTACAATAGGAAAGAGGACCCCAGGAGGTGGGACCTTCTGGGATAGTCAGAGGAGGAAGAAGACCCATCCAGACAAGGAAAGGGACAAAAGCAGATATGAACAGGTTGCCTCTCCAGAAGCGGATGTGAACAGGCCCTGCCTTCCCACTGACCCCTTAGGCTTGCTGTGAGGTGAGGAGAGGATGCCTAACTACCTCAGTAGCCCTGATGGGAAAGGGTGGGTGCTCTACCTAAGCAGTTCCTGGGAGAAAGAGAGCATCTTTAGGAGTCAGGAGACCTGGGTCCCACACTTGACTCTGACACTCAGCCTGTGACTCTGGTCCGGCCAGCCACACCCTCTCCCTCAGGCTCTATCAGCTGTAAACAAGAAGTTGGTCAAATGATGTTGAATGAAGGTGACAGGACCAGCCTGGCAAGGCTCTACAAGTTTGAATGCCAAGACACGAGAGAAGAGGTGTTCAGGCCATAAAAGGGAAGAGAGCAGGTAGAGGCCAGTGTTGGGGTGAGCTGGGGAGGATGACCAGGAGAGCACAGGGCAGGCCGGGCTCTCAGGGCCTAAAGGGCACCCACGTCGTAGGCAGGCAGGCAGATGAATCTGATCGAGTCATGGTTGAGTTCTGGGGCCTTCAGCATGCATGGAGTAACGAGAAAATGGAGCAGTGTTTGTTTATTGTCATTTTGAATTTCCTTTCTCTGTCCTGGCCACACGGTTCATGTTGCCAGTCATGCTGATGGCTGCAAACAGAAGCTTCTGAAGGAAGGAGGCAAGGTCTTCACAAGAAGATGTTATCTTTGTGAGCCACGTGGCCCCCACATTCTTTATGGTCAGGGACCATGCCATCACCATGTTGTCCCAGTCCCCATCACATCCGGGACCCTCAAGCCTTAACATACAGTGGTTGGAGCAGCCAGGACAAAGTGGGCCAGGGGCTCCTTTTCAGGGGCTGTTGTCTTATGAGATGAGGAAGTAGGGACAATCTGTGTCTTGGCACTTTTATGGGTCAATATTGACCTACCCTGGCTGAGCTCTGTCAAAACAGGGATACCCCCACCACCTTGCTATACCAGCACTCCAGACTTGGAAACTCAAGCAGGGTTCCTTTCCCCCACCAACCTAGGTCATGTGTCCACTACTCCATCCCCATTCTCAGTGTGACTGCCTTTCCTGGAGCCGTAAGAGGGACATATAGGAAATCTCATTCTTCTCTGCAAAGAGGCAGGGTCTCTCCTGGGCCCCAACCCCACCCAAAGTCTTCAGCATTGGCCAAAGCCTACCCAAGGTCCTCAGCGATAGACGGTACATGGATCAGAGAAGGAAAGCATGAATCAGGCTGAGAGGAGCCACGTCATAAGCTTTGCATTGAGCCTGGACAGACAGACAAAAGCACACACACCCACACAGGGTATCACAGTGAGACTGAGCAGAAAGCTGGGTCTACCCAGTTTGGCCTCCCAGACGTCAGTCAAGTCCCTTCCTCCTCAGCTGCCTGACAGTCCCAGGGGCCTACCTTGCCCAGACTTTTTCCTCACACGCTTCCATTAATGAGCTAGCTCCTTTAAGCCATCCTTCACCACTTCCTTTTTGGACAAGATTGCCACCTGGTGACAAGAAGTTTTTCAGCTATGTTAGCTTGAGGCGCTCATATGGTTAGACTCCCCATTCTACAGATGAGGATCTTGAAGCCTCAGGCATTTAACTGACATTGAGAGATTGTCTGACAGAAACCCCTCTTACCATCCATTCTCTAACCTAGAAAAGCAAACCCTGCTTTCTGTTTGTAGGCAGAGTCTGTGAGGAAGAAAAGGGAAGCTTCAGAGCAAGCTTGTGCAAGCAGTGGTGTGTGCAGTGTGCATGTAATGTTGGGGACACAGGCCACAAAGCCTATCAAGGACAGAAATCTGCTTTAAGACAGACGCTTGTGTGCGGACCTGCAAGGGGACTGACTGGGCCATCTAGATGAGACCTGAAGGCCAAGGAGCCCTTGGACAGGAGGCAAGCAGCAAGCCAAGGACAAAACAAAAGCCACGGGCCTGCTCTACCAGACCTTTAGTTGGCCAGCCGAGTTCCATAGGGTGTTCAGAGGTGACACCACCTTTGGACAATGAGGAGGGACAAAGGGCTGAGGCGCTGCCTTCAGGAGAAAAGCAGAGATAAAAAATGAGGCATTGCCTTCAGATGATTATCGGGGTGTTCATCCTTCCCTCATCAGCTCACATACATGGAGAGAATCTAGCAGTAGCCCTTAGGATTGAACTCCCAGGCCACATCTCATCCCCTCGTCTGCATGGTCTTCTTTGGCCCATGGCAAAGTCCCTTCGTTTACCCTCTGGGCACGGAGAATCTCTTGGGATGCAAAAGTGCCCTAGAGACAGTAATCAAGGCCAGTCACTTCCACTTAATGGTTCTCTGGCTAGGCTACAGGCTTTGTCAGAGGGGACATGCCCGTCTTTCTTACAAGATGGCATTGGCGTCTCCTGCCATCACTGGCACTTCCCAGCATGTCTCTAAGTCAAGGTGTGGGAGAAAATGCCCAGCACCTGAGAAAACCTGTTCCTCATCATACCAAAGAGGACAGAGACCTAAGCATGGCAGCTGAACGCCCCGCCTCACAACAAAGCCCAATGGGCTATGTATGACATGCAAAATCTAGTCTCTTTCACATTGAACAAAAACAGTCAATTCACTGATTTTTCCTAACCTGATTTTTCACAAAGCCTGATGCTAAGCTCTGAGCTTCTCCTTCCTTCTTCAGCCACAATGTGGGAAGCTAGAGTGGATACTGACTCAACCCACCCACCAACTGACATGGGGCTTTTCATGTACCAGTGAAGATACACCCCCTGTACCTCTTTCCCCAGGTGCCTGTCCCCTTTCTCATCTAGAATACCCAGGTGTACCTTGAAAACAAGGCATCAAGAAGAGAGACTGACAGCTCTTGGGTGTCAACAGAATGATGGAGACCAGACCCACTGCCTTACCTCCTCACAAAGAGTGGCCCAAGGCCCGCTAAAGTCCACAGGGCCCAGTGGGACTTGGGTATACACAAATACAGTACTCTGGAGCTAATGACATTGGGCGGGGTGGGGGGGGGCACATCAGAAGGACAGAGTGACAGCTGTGTCCATCACCTGCCTATAGCCGCTATTCACCATCGCCCTCCACTTCCAGACAGTGCCCAATTCCAGTGTGCCTTGTGCAAACACCTGGCCATGCAGGCAGATGAGGGAAATGGCAACTTATCCCGGAGGAGTTCTCTGCTAAGAGCATCCGACTCATTGATGATAGGCATCTCTGACATAGCCATAAACCCAGCCCAGCTGAGCAGCAACTGTACCTAGGAGCTGAGACTCTCCTGGGCATCCCCACTTGGAAGAAAGTAACTTCAAGCAGTTCCAGTCTCCTGCTGGAACCCTCAGACAGTGTGTGGAACTCAGATAGGATGCCACACTTCTGCCACCAACCCCCCAAGAATAAGATTCACAGACAGTGTTACCATAGTCTATTTCTGTGGTTCTGTACATCTTGTACCATTGTGCCCTCAACCCTCAGGGGCCAGCCAGTCACTCTAGACCCAGCTTAGGACAGAGAACAGAGCATTCTTCATAACTGTGATGGATGTAACATTATAGCTGCGATTGGGCTTACCCATCAGGTGAGGTGTCCCTAGGGGACCTCTGCTCGGAGTGTAGAGACCTAAGAAGCTCTAGGTAGAAGCCTACAATCATCTAATGATTGGAAACAGTCATTGCCAGCCTTTGGTGGCCACTGCAGTTCTCTGAGCTATATATGAACCACACAGTAAATCCCACCTGTGTGCTGGGGCGGGGGGGGATATCCAAACTCTCATGCCTCCCTTAGACCATTGTCCCAGGCTACTAATAAAGTGGAAGGGGCCAGCTTTTCTAGTCCTAGGAGTCTCTGGCACCCCCTTGTCAATCATTTGCCCAATGGAGACAGCCACAGTCATGCATTCTATCGCCACACCCTTCAGCCCCTGTACTTTCCCTCTCCTTCCTGGTGCATCTCACAGTGCAGGCAGCTCTAGCTCCCACACACTTTCCCAGGCTCAGCCTTGAGAAGCAGCAGGTCGTTGCCAGCAGTATGGCTGTACTAGCCCTTTACAGTTCTCATTCCAGCACTGCGTCAGCCAGGGTCGTGTGTGTCTGCCTCTGCACCTCAGAGATCTACCTCGCCTCTTCACTGGGTGGAGCTCCTCTCTCTGAGGTCTTGGGGGACACCCTGAGATAGCAATTGTTGGTGGCAGCAGAGAAAGGGATCTTGAGAAAAGGCCCATGTTGACCCCCATCAGCCCGGGCACACTATACCCAGGATGACTTCTACAGAGCCTGAGGAAGTCCAGAGGAAAGGCCAGGTCATTAGGGATGGACACAGAGGCAGGAAAGACTTGGAGCAAGAAGTTGACCAGATAGCCTCTGAGGCCTGGGATAGTCGGGATTTATGGTGTCTCTAGGGAGCATGTGAGAGCTATTTTTACATCTAACAAATGCATCCAAGCTTGGGACTCCATCTCAACAGTAAAACACAGGTGTGTGAATTCCCTTCAGCATTGAGTAAGCATGTGTGGGCTGAAAGGACCTCAGCCCAGATGCTCTGTGTGGCCATACTTTGCCCTCTCTCTTCCTAGGCTTGCTCAGGACATAGCCATGCAAGGCCTTAGACTCTCTGGTCACATGAGTCATCTGTGGAAAAGGAACAGCCTCAGGGTCCCAGAGTAATCTGCACACTGTAGGTTGTTTGGGAGCTCCAAAGGCCTTAAATTTTCAAATTCTGGTGCTGAGAATAAAAGCAGAGTTGTGTAGAAGGATCTCCTGGGAAGAGGTTTCTCTGGCCCAAGTCAGGCTAAGCCTCAGCAGAACTTTAGGCCTCACCTACTTCCATCTTGTTTTCCAGAATAGGAGGCTGAGGGCCGGAGAGGCTCAGGATATCTGTCAGTGGCAAAGCAGGGTACCCAGGTCCCTTTGCTCCCAACTAGTGCTCTGTCCACTCTCTCAGCAGCTGTCCCCGGCCTCTTTGGCCAACCTACTGTCTTACCAGGCATTGGTACACCTCTACTGCCTGCCCTAGGTACACCCAAGGGACCAGTCTTAAGAGTCTTGGCCCCTTGTTTTTGCAGAAGTCAGTGGGTAGGCAACAGAGCTCACCGCCCTGCCACAGCCCCAGCCAGGCCAGGCTCAGTGAGGGAAGCTGGGGTGGTGAAAGTAGCCAAGCAGGGGTGGTCAAGTCAATGGCCTCTGAGAAACCTGCCTCCTGACTTAACGCTCTGGGTGTTTTGTTTTTGTTTTTTTGTTTTGTTTCTCCCGGCCTCACTTCTGTATCGGTTTACTCTCGCTTCATGGTATCTGTTTCCTTCCAGGTCCAGCTATAGGGAGCAGCTGCCAGGCCTTAGGAGCCTTTGCAATGGTCTTGTATTTCTGTAGACACCAGATATAAACATACTGATATATTTGTGTCCCTCCCCTGCTCCCCACCCCAGTTCACAAGCCCGACGCACACTCTACACGCAGGCCACTCTGACCTCTGACCCCGTGTTCCATGTGGCAGGAGGGCACCCCTGCCCCGGGCCAGGCCCCAGGTCATGGCTGCTGGCTGTCTGTGGCGGAAGTCCTTGATTGTTTTCCTCTCCCCTCCCCAGCTCTAACCATTCTGTCCGTCTATCTTGTCTTGTCTTCAGTTTCAAAGCAATGTCATGAAGGGCTTCCCTTCCACGCCTAAAAGGAAACAATATGTTTTTTGGAGAGGTTGGGGTCAGCGGGACTTCCTGGGCAGCCTTCCAAGGCCCTGGGTCTTCAAGATGTGCTCAAAAGGACACCTCCTGATTGACTAGGATGGCAGCCAATCAGGAGCCATTGAGCCTCAGCTGGAAGAGATTCTGCCCTGTGAGGCAGTAGGTCCTGCTTGCCAGGGCATGCTGGTACCATGTGGTGTAGACACCAGGTCCAGCAGGTAGCTAAACCATATTGTTTCCCTTTGGGGCTAGTCCTGGTCCTTGTCCCCATTCACAGCTCATGCTTTTTGATTTGCATCTTTTTTGCATGGACATGCCGAGTAGTGATAAGCAAGGTTTTCTGTTCTCTGGGGCGCCTCTGGTCAGACTTCTCTTTCAGATCCTGTGTCAGGTCATTAGGTTCAGGTGTGTCATTGCTGTGTCCTTTGAGTCCTAAGATGAAGGGAGTGACTGAGGTGCACAGGGAACTCTGGCCCTGTGAGGAAGCGGCGGTGGCCGCAGGGGTAGCAGGTGAGGACACCCTGGTTTCTGTGCCTTAGGTCAGTGCAGGATGGCAGCCAGAGCAGCCGGGAGAAGCTGGAGCTGGTGCTCTCGAACCTGCAGGCTGACGTCCTGGAGTCTCTGCTGGAATTCGTCTACACCGGTTCGCTGGTCATCGACTCAGCCAATGCCAAGACTCTGCTCGAGGCTGCCAGCAAGTTCCAATTTCACACCTTCTGCAAAGTCTGCGTGTCCTTTCTCGGTAAGCTGACCAGTGGGCCTTTACATCCTGTAGAGAAAATGGGGCAGATGCATGAAAAATTCCAGCCAGCAAGAATAGAGCAAGGAGGGCTGTGTGTCCCCAGATCATGCCAGGATATCTAGATTCTACCTGAGCATGTGGGTGGCTTGATGGAATGGCATGCACTGAAGGGGTCACTGTGGCCTTGCCAGAACCTGTGACCACTAGGATGTGTGGACAGCCTGTGCAGGTAAGGAACCTGACTGCTCTGCCCCGGCCACTAAACCTGGATGAATCAACCATGCACTCTATTTCCTTTTAACATATTGGTTCCCAGGCCATACAGATGCCTGGACAAGTCAGTGCATCTGATCTAACCCTTGGAAGCTCAGAACCGTTTTTGCAAGGCATGGATATTGGTGATGGGCTCACGACCTCCCAGACTTTCTGCCCAGAGCATGCTCACTTTACAGCTTGGTGCGGCTTAGCTGGGCTGGGAATTGTGGAGTACCGGGGACAAGGACAGCATCATCAATAAAATAAAACAAGATAAAAATAAACAGAGCCTGGGTGTATCTGCAGAAAGAAAAGCTAAAAAGGATCAGGACTGCTGAAGGACTCATCAGTCCAGGAGGGTCAGGAGCTACAGTGACAGAATGAGGCACACAGCCAGTTCTAGCCTGGAAGATCCATTGGCCAGGTTTCAGAAGATCTAGTCACTGAATCCTAGAGTCTAGATGGTGGACTAGGGACTCTAAGGACCATAGGTACACTGATATGTGAGGACTGTTGTTTACAAGGTTTAAAGATGTCTGTGACATCAAGCATGATGGAAGACACTATAAGTTTCAAAGTGGCCGGTACCCATAGCCTAGGCCCAAATCCTGAAGCCCCGGCCCTCCCTCTACTGCCAGGAAAGAAGCTCATGACATCCCTCACAGTTTCGGTTTTCCTGCTAGGATCTGCAGGGGTAGAACTAAGCCCTGGGAGGTCCCCATGACTCAAGGCAGAGGAAATTTTGGAAACAGCTCTGAGGCTTGGGAGGTAGGGTACTGACAGCTATAGATGCTGGAGGCAGGGCCACAAGAAAATGGGCTGGGTTCAAAGGAAGATCCGGGGATGATGACGGGAGCAAGAGGTGGTCCTTCCAGGACTTCCGCATCAGTGACCATTCACTCTGTCCACCCCAGAGAAGCAACTGACCGCCAGCAACTGCCTGGGCGTGCTGGCCATGGCTGAGGCCATGCAGTGCAGCGAGCTCTACCATATGGCCAAGGCCTTTGCGCTGCAGATCTTCCCAGAGGTGGCCGCCCAAGAGGAGATCCTCAGCATCTCTAAGGATGACTTTATCGCCTACGTCTCCAATGACAGTCTCAACACCAAGGCCGAGGAGCTGGTCTATGAAACTGTCATCAAGTGGATCAAGAAGGACCCAGCAGCGAGGGCACAGGTAGGCTGGCTCCACCCAGTCCCTGCAGGGCTGGGACCTGCTGCAGGGATGGAGGAAGGAGCAGGGGGCAGGGTTCCATGTCTCAACAGCAAGGATTGTGTAGAAGCCAAAAATAATGACACACATACACACACATCCTTTTCCATACACAGAGTGCCAGGGAGGGGAAAGAGGGGGTGAAAAAGAGACGCAGTCTCCAGAGGACTCTCAGGGACTTCCGCTCGGCTGAGAACGAGTCTCCAGGTTTGCCAAGGCAACACGGAGTCTGGGGGAGAGTGGGGGCGTGTACCTGGGCTTGACAGAAAAGTGGGTGCCTGACCAGGGTATGTGGGATCTCAGGAGGTCAGAGGACATACTCTGGCTCCCAAATGTGTGAGAGCAACCATAAACCATTCCGGAAGTGGGAAACCAGTGTGTGTGTGATAGGCAAGAACATGAGGCTACCAGAGGAGACAGAAAAGCCAGAGTGATCATTCACAGGAGGAAGAGAGATACAACAGTATCCCCAGATAGTCTTGGGGTGCTCAAAGGCCCATTCGTACCCAGAAGGTCCCAACTGTAGGCCCCATGCAGAAGGGAATCACCATTGGTTATTGTAGTGAGGAGCCTGGAAGTCAGGGCAGCTGTTGGAAGCCTTGGAAGGGCCAGAATATAAAAACAATAAATGGGACAATAGTGGAAGTGGGAATGGTGGTTAGGTGGGAGCCTAACCACTAGGACAGAGTCAGGGAAGCCAGACCCCAGAACACGCTGAAGCCACCAAGTCCTGGGTCAGAAAGGCTGTCACATTTCATTGAACATAAAAAGGACACGGCCAAATATGGTAACACATGCCTGTAAGCCCAGCACTTGGAAGTAGAAGCAGGAGGATTAGGGATTCAAAGCTAGGCTTGACTACATAGTGAGCTTCAGCCTGGGCTACAGGAAACTCTGACCCAGAAAAAGGGAGGGAAGGGGGAAGGGCAAGGAATGGGTTGGGGGAAGATTGGAGACAAGGATGAGAGAGATATGGATGGCTCCCTGCCCCTTCTCAACCCCACCACTGAGTCCTTGGGGTCTATGAGAAGTGGGTTCCTCGTTTAATCAGGTTGGCAGGAAGCTAGTTTTTAGTAAAAGGAACTGGAGTTGTGTAGATAATGACAGTAACTGCCCCAGTTCTCCTCAACCCTCAAATCCACATCCTCAGCCCAGCGTGTGGTATGAGCTCAGCCAGGCTTGCCCGGAGACCCTGGTCTCGCGCCTTCCCCATCTGCTATGTGCCGCATCCTTCCAAAAAGACCCTTTACACCCAAGAATCCTTCAAATGTCACACCCCTTTTCACTCTCCCGTGCCTCTGGATGTCCCCACAACTCTTCCATCTCAAACATCATCTGCCCCGTGCACTCCTCTCCCACTTCCACAGCCCTAGTAGGCTCCCATCAGAAGCAGGGTCTCATCAGCCTCCGCAGCTGCAGTAACAAGCTCAGCGTAGGGTCTGCACTGGCCCCCAATTACTCCTGCCAGTCATCCGCCAGACCAAACAAAAGTGGGTGGAGTGGTGAGCCGTGTGCCTGTCGCGGGGAAGTTCACATCAATGCAGGAAAAGCCTTGAGTGAAGGATAAGAGGGTCCCGAAGCCACGATGAGACGCAGCGACACTCCTAAGGAGCTGTAGTACGACGTGGTCACCTGACAGTCATCATCTAAGTGCTTCTGGGTCCTCCCACCTGGTTCCTGTCACACTCACACCTCTTTGAGATGCAAGGCTCCTACTCTCCTGGCTTCAGCCGCCTGGCAGTATGGTTTGCAGTCATGATCCACGACATAGATAGGGTGTGGTGACAAGAGGCTGAAGGGACAGAGAGACAGGCTGCTCCAGTGCCAGCTGCAGCCACCACGCCTCCAGTTAGCCCTGCATGCCTCCCATTGTCTAGTATGCCAGGCTGGGCAGTGTGCGCTTGCTTCTGAGACATGCCCACATGGGAAGTCCTTCTCCGTTCAGCTCATAAGAGATGGCTTCCTCTGAGCGGAATCCGGCCTCTTCTCTCCCACAGTATGCAGCAGAGCTCCTAGCTGCCGTCCGCCTCCCGTTCATCCACCCCAGCTATCTGCTCAATGTGGTGGACAATGAAGAGCTGATCAAGTCATCAGAAGCATGCCGGGACCTGGTCAACGAGGCTAAGCGCTACCACATGCTGCCCCATGCCCGGCAGGAGATGCAGACACCCCGAACCCGGCCCCGCCTCTCTGCAGGTATCAAGGGACATGCCCAAATCCCCAAATTGCAGATGCCATGGAACCAGCTAGCTCCAGGTGGTCCCCCAGACAAGAGCCAGGCACAGCTGCTGACGAAGTAAGGGTGTGTCTCAAGGATGCCCATCCGTGTCCCTGCAGGTGTGGCTGAGGTCATCGTTTTGGTTGGGGGCCGTCAGATGGTGGGGATGACCCAGCGCTCACTGGTGGCTGTCACCTGTTGGAATCCACAGAACAACAAATGGTACCCCTTGGCTTCTCTACCTTTCTATGACCGAGAGTTCTTCAGTGTAGTGAGTGCTGGGGACAACATCTACCTCTCAGGTAAGGCTCCCAAGGGCTGGGTGGGAAGTGGGATGGGTTTTCCCAAGGGACCTCTGCCTCCTACACACAGGGCTGAGGAAGGTCAAGGCCCCAGATGGCTGTCTGGCTAGCAGATGAAGCCTCCTGATTCTGTCCCTGGAGCAGAGCAACCTGTCCTCAAGCCCTTCCTCAGCTCCCCTATCTGCTCTTTTGTACCCCCATTCTGTCCACAGGTGGTATGGAATCAGGGGTGACGCTGGCTGATGTCTGGTGCTACATGTCCCTGTTGGATAACTGGAACCTGGTCTCCAGAATGACTGTCCCTCGCTGTCGCCACAATAGTCTAGTCTACGATGGAAAGATTTACACTCTCGGAGGCCTTGGCGTGGCAGGCAACGTGGACCACGTGGAGAGGTAAGGCAGCCACAGTCCCTGAGCTGGCATCTCTTGATATCACTGAACACTAAGGTCACATCACTAAGCCCGGCACCTCCTTGACACCAATGGTCTACAGACTGGCCCATTCCAAGCTCATCATGCATAATAAAAGGAAGTGAACACAAGATGTGACCTCATGAGTCACCAAAGAGGACATTCTTGTTAACATCCATTGAGGTGTAACACAAGGTGTGGCCCAAGGTCCAATCATAGGAGGATGTGAGTAAAATTTGGTTAAGGGTGCACAGTAGATTACAAGTACCAGCCCAGAGACAAAGCATTCAGGAGAAAAGCTGGCATTGATATCCCAAGGATGGGCCATGCCAGTGGTTGTGCCACTTTGTCCTGCCAAGTGAAGGTTGCAGGCATCCTTCCTGCATCCCACACATGGCACGTAAATTGGACTAAAGTAACACAGGGAAGAGACACCACCCACCAACTAAGCGATGTAGGTGCAGTCTAGCCAGGCCTCTAGAATTCTTCAGAGGGAAACTATGAGCCCACGAGCTCCAGATTCCAAGTTGGTCTGCCGTTTCTTTCACATCCCAGGCTGCTGTCTCCCTACCTCCACCCTAGCCTGGCTATTGAGGATGTAAGTCAGGCCTATGCCTGAGGGCCAAAGACTGGAGGGAGAACTGCCCTAGGGGAAAATGCCAAGATCCTTCCAGTCACGAGATTGCTCTTAGAGCAAATGGGTGGGTCGCCTTGAGAAAGATGCTCGAGCTGGAGAGATAGCTCAGCTATTAAGAGCACTGATGCTGATTCAATTCCCAACACCCACATGGCAGCTCACAGCTGTCTACATATCCAGTTTCAGGGGACCCAACACCCTCACACAGACATACACACCAATGTTCATAAAATAAATTATAAAAAAAAAAAAGAAAAGAAAAAAAGAGAGGAAGATGCTCAGGACCTGTGGGAGAGGACCATTAGTTAGCAGCACAGGAAGATCTACTGGTCATAGCTTCTCCGCTCTTTCCCCTACCCTGGCCCACACCATTTGCAGTGTGACATCCTTTCTGCCTGTGAAGCCACACCTACCCCTCAATTTGAATCCCCCCCCCCGTCACGCCCCATGGCTAATTGGGTACTTGATAAATGTTCCAGCAAAGACGGTCTCAGAGTGAGACAGGTTCTGAATGTTCACTGTGGGCTTTTAAGTCCCCCAAGTGGATCCAGAGAGGGCTTGGTAACAACATTTAATTGTCATATTGATTTGATGATAATGGGAAATTCCCAGGTGATTATGAACATATTAATATTGTGCTTGGACTCAGACCAGCCCCAACACTGGGGAGTCTTGGACAAAACCTGCTGCATGTCCAGGTGTACCCCCAAGCTCCCCCAGAAGCATCAGCTTCCAGTCATTTATCAACCAATAATAAACACATGAGCAAGAAGACGTTTTCTATGTAGGAGTCCGCGGAGCAGGGTGGCATCCTGCTTTGCTTCTGTCAGCTATTTCTAATCTCCTAAAATGCTGATTACTCATTTCGCAAAGTTCTGCTTGTTGATAAATACAGGGATTTGTTGAGAGATCAAGCGCCTTGACGGAGGGGTAGAGACAAGCTCCGGTCCTCTTGCTTTCCTTGGGCCCTGAAGCAGTTCTCTGGGGCCCCAAGGGGCCGCCTCTACTGGCCTTCCCCAAGGAGCTCAGCCTTCCAGATGGCTGGAAAATAAATGTCAGCTCTGAGCATCAGAGATTGAGTCCACCCCTAGGAGGCCCATTGGATGCAAGAGCAGCTGGGGATCCCAGAGGAGCCTGAGAGACCCCGAGTTCTCCCTTGGCCCATGAAGATCTGTCATCTGTGCTTGTAGGATGAGAGACTGGAAGACCCTTAGGCGGTGCCCATGCAAGGGAGTGGAGCACCCAGTAGGGAAGAGGCACCCAGTAGCTACCCAAGGAACAGGCCCCTTTGACTAAGTCAGTCTCTGTGCCACGTGGCAGAAGCGATGACAGTTCAGGGTGACAGGAAGGTCAGTATGACAGGAGGGACAGACACGAGGGTGCTTTGTTCCACAGTAAGCACTAATGGTACAAATTGCTATTATATTGATAATGAATGAGATATATGGTGTATTATAATTATATTACATTACTGTGTTACAGGAATAGAGTGAGATTACATAATTATAGATTAAAACAACAGCGCCATAGACAAACCTGTATTATATCATTATATAAATAACCGGGTCTAATATTTTACAGCAATATATTGCAGGAGCTGTGGTTACTACATAAATGATAGTGGAACACCTCACTCGGCTAGGTCATTTGCATGTCATTAGCATATCCTTCTCAAGCAGGAAGCTGACAGATTGAGCTGACTGGAGGGCTCATGGCTTGGCAATCAGCCACCTGGAATAACAAACTCTCAGGCAGAATGTGTTTGGCAGAATGTGTCATTATGCCGAAAGATTGAAGACTAACAACCACATAATCTTTCTCATCCCCCAGCTCTTTCTGTGGGAGCTCTTTGGCTAGCCGCCATATTGGCTTAAACAGATATCTGAACTCTGACCCTGCCCCAAAAAGATGCTCCATTACCTATTAGCTGTATATCATCCATCTACAACTGAATGGCAGCAGCCCTTGCTGCCCCGTAAGAGACTTCGGCTTCTTCTTACATTCAAGTCCAGAAGTGGTTGTCACTTGGCTGTCCCCTCCCCACACACTCAAGAACCAGAGACACGGTGCACATAAGACCCTCCTCCTAGAGGGCCCACCTCTGAGCTAATGATGGCTCTTGTCCAGAAGAGGCTCACAGGGGGAACATGGGAGTCGTGTATGGATCATGACCATGTGCTAATCAAAATCCCTGGTGTCCCAGTGAGCAAACTCGGGCCCATGCTTTGGGTGCAGACACATACGGAGCAGAGATAAGTCTGGGGAGCCACAGATGTACCCTACCAGCAGGTCTACAGTAAGTGCTGAAACAGCTACAGTCAGCAGGGACCTTGAGGGCAGCTAGGTCATTGGAACACTGAACAGAAATGTGGACGCTTAGGTTGTTGGAACTTGTCCTCCAAAAGCAAACCTCAGGAGCAGCAGCTCCTTGGACAGCCCACTTAGCTCCGGTTCTGTCCCTGCCTCCTTTCTCTCACGTGTCTCGACCTCTCCACCCTTTCACCTTGCTGCTTCATCCTGCAGTGCATATGAAGCAGATCTGTTCAGCCCCACTCTCTCTTCTTCTTCTTCTTCTTCTTCTTCTTCTTCTTCTTCTTCTTCTTCTTCTTCTCTCTCTCTCTCTCTCTCTCTCTCTCTCTCTCTCTCTCTCTGGGGCTGGAAATCCTAGCATCGTACAGTGGTCCTACTACACACTGGAGACTCAAGCCTCTAGCCAACGCTACACGCTGCAAGGCACCCTTGGAATTGGCCTTATCAGCCATTTCCTCTCAAAAGCAAGGGCTCTCTCTTCTCTCTCCTCAAAGCCCAAATCCTATACACAAGCTCCCTGACTGCTTTTGGCCACCCCACCTCCTGCTTACCAGAGTAAATGGGGCCATGGATTGAGAACTCGGATGTTCTGGAGATACAGTATTTGCTTAGAATGCAAGTAGCCCTAAGTCTGATTTCCAGTGCTATATAAGGTAGGCATCGCTGTCTACATTTGTAAGGGTGGCACTGGGGAGATCTCAGAGGTTATGCTCATCCTTGGCTACTTAGAAAGTACCAGATAAGTCTAGAATTTGTGTATCCATCTCTCGAGGAAAGCAAGCACCTTTCATGCCACTTTGATAATCCCAGCAATGTGCCTGCAGCTGTACCATCCTCGAGTTCCACTTTCGGGTCTCCTGCTCACGCACACACAACTCCTTTTGCTTTAGTTAGCATCTACTATACCTGTCAGAAACCTTACAGGACCCAGGGGCCTTCAGTTCTTCCTTGTGTCCTTCAAGGACAAATAACAGATCCCCAGGGGGTGAGGGAGAGTTGGGGCTCTTCAGAGTTCCCTGTGGTCCCCAGCTCCTCCCTCCCTCCCTCCCTCTCTCTCTCTCTCTCTCTCTCTGTCTTTCCCTTTCCCCTCCCTCCCTCCCTTCCTCCTTCCCTCCCTCCCTCCCTCTCTTTCAATAGGATCTGTGTTACTTACCCAGGCTGGCTTTGAACTCCCCAGTCAACGTCTGAATGCTGACACTCAGTTGTGCTCCAGCCTCTCTTGCTTATACTGCAAAGTCCCCTCGGTACTACAGGGGATGAGTTCCAGGATACCTGTAGACTCCCATCTGCAAGTGCTCAAATCTTCATATAAAATGACACAGTAGCTACATACAAATACCTGTGCACAGCCTACTGCAGACTCTAGATGGGTACTTCAAATCATTTCACACACCACTTATAACACCTCATACAATGTAAGTGCTATGTAAAGAGCTGTTATACTGTATTACTTTTGGAAATAATAGAAAATCTGTTAATGTTCAACACAGACACAATTTTTCAGCTATTCCCTGTGCACAAGTGACTGCATCTATGGATGCAGAATGCACGGGTTTGGAGTCTGGCTGTTTAGGTAACTTTTGCTTATTCACTTGGGCTTCATCCTAGCTACACAACAATGTACTTAACGCCGCCCACCCCCACCCCCCACATGCATGTACGTGCGGACGACGCTGCCATTAAAACCAAACCAGTGTTGTGCCAGGGTTCATTTCAGTGGGCTTGGGAGAAGCAACTGATGACATTTAGAAAACTGTGCAACCCAGTTATTATTAAAAACTAGTGATAATCCACCACTTCCTGGGTAGTCACCATAGTTTCCTGCTCTCTTCTTGAGGTTTTACATGGCTGTTGGAGCTGCACGTGGGGAGAGCAGTGGCCGCAGCACACAGGATTTTCTCCCGGGGGGGGGGGGGGCTCCCTGGTCCTGCTGCTAGGGTCAGGCAGGTGGAAGGCTTTGCATTCCAGAAACCAGCAGGTGGTGCCAGGGTGTTTTTCTCACCGAGGGGGCCTGTAAATGCTGATGGGCATTCTATTAACAAACCCCCTCAGGATTGCATGTTTCTTTCTAAGTACCCCCACCTCTGCCATCTCCATGGCTTGGTTTCCTCAGGGAGACTTCTCTGTCTCCAGAGTACTGGCCCCTCTCGCGCTGACACACAATGCCTTGTGTACATCCTGTTTCACCTATAGTGCCAACAACCCCAGAATACCGTGACTTGCTGAACCCCACTGCCCACACTTGAGGCCCTTTTTCTACAGCATAGATGCTGACTGCCCCAAAAGAGGGTTTTTCTCCACCCTTCCCAGTCAGCCCTCCGCCTCGGGACTCACCTCACCCATGCCCAGCCCCTGACACTCACCATCCCTTGACCCATTACTTACCTCTCATCAAGCTTCCTGTGGGTGATTAGTCTACCTGGTCTCCATGAGTCCAGCCTCCTGCCTGAAGTATCTCCCCCACCCTGCAGCCACAGTGGTCTCTAACCTGTTTTGATTGCGTTGTTTCCCTGCTTACACCTTCAGGGCCTGCCCACTGCTCCCTACACAAAGCCCAAGTCCCTAAGTACAGCACACACAATGCCTTCTAATCTACCCTACCTCCAGCCACTATGGATGACTCCAGATGTCCCTCAAATACCCCTGTGCCCACATATATCCCTTCACCTTCAATTAACTTCCTATGTTAGGGTTTCTTTTGCTGTCAAGAGACACGATGACCTCATCAACTCTTATAAAGGAAAACATTTAATTGGGGTGGCTCACTTACGGTTCAGAGGTTCAGTCCATTATCGTCATGGCAGGAAGCAAGGCAGCATGCAGGGAGATATGGCGCTGGAGAAGGAGCTGAGAGTTTTTACATCCTGACTCACAGGCAATAGGAAGTGGTCTATGAGGCTAGATGTGGCTTGAGCATATGTGAGACCTCAAAACCTGCCTCCATAGTGACACTTCCGCAACAAAGCCACACCTCCTAATAGTGCCACTCCCTTTGGGGTCATTTGCTTTCCAACCACCACACTTCCTGAGCCCATTTGCACCTGCCCAACCTCTGCCTGACATCGATAGCCCATTCACCCCTCCAGACCCAGCCTGGAGCCACTTTCCAGAAAGGCTTAGCCTCCCCTGTGAAAAAGTGAGGTGTCCTGGTGTGTGCATGTTGACCCCTCATCATCATGCCACACCAACCTTCGTAATCATCAGATTTTGTATGTTTGATGTGGCTGTCCTCCCCACTGGACCAGCAGCTCCTTGAGGGCAGAAATGGTCTCCCCCAGTGGATTCTGGGTGCGTCATCACCATGGAGATGCTTACTATGTAAGCAAGGGCAGGATCTACACAGAGGTTGGACACACAACAAAAGGCCCCACCGCAGCTCAAAAGGAGGCCTATGAAGCCAGTTTGGAGCAATGCCTGGAAATGACCCAAACCTGGGTCCCCATCTGTGGGCTTAGGCTATGCAGTGATGCCGAAGGCAGAAAGCAGATGCTGAATTTCCCCGACTGCTGCTGTCCTGGACCGTGGCCTGCCTTGCACACGGACTATCTCTTTCTCCTCTTTACAGGTATGACACTATTACTAACCAATGGGAGGCAGTAGCCCCTCTGCCCAAGGCAGTACATTCAGCAGCGGCCACTGTGTGCGGTGGCAAGGTCTACGTGTTCGGTGGAGTCAATGAGGCAGGCCGAGCCGCGGGTGTCCTTCAGTCCTATGTGCCACAGACCAACACGTGGAGCTTCATTGAGTCTCCAATGATAGGTAAGAATCTGGTGCCTCCTCAGTCCCGGCCAGTGGGACCCCCGACAGTCCCGCATCCCACATCCCAGATAGAATTAGGATCAGCCCAAATTGTCCACAGAAATAGGTCTAGCGGTGGGTAGCATGTAGTCCCAAAGCCCAGGCGCAGCGGGGATGTCAGCACCTAGAAAAGGGCAAGCCAGCTAAGACTCTGCCTGCTCCTGGTCCCCAGCCTGTCCCAGGGCAATCATTTGGAGCACCGCTGGGAAAGAGAGAGGAGGGAGGCCAGGACCACTGACCTTGACCACCTGTTCTGCCATCCTCACAGACAACAAGTATGCACCAGCTGTCACCCTCAATGGCTTTGTGTTCATCCTGGGAGGAGCTTACGCCAGAGCCACCACCATCTACGACCCAGAAAAAGGCAACATCAAGGCGGGCCCAAATATGAATCACTCTCGCCAGTTCTGCAGGTGAGGGAGTATCTGGGCTGGGGCTGTGGAGGAGTGGGGACTGGAGGGGTGCATGGGTGAACTCGCCCCCACCCCAGGAACAGATGGCAGGACTAGAGTATAATATGGGGCCCCTAAGAGCAGCTGTGAGAGGATCCTGTATCCCCAAACTATGGCTCCGTATGATCTCGTCTCACACTGGAAAAGACATAAAAGTCACCCTCCCTTCAGGGAGAAGCAAGACCAGCTCTCCCCTCGGGCGCCTTCCAGAGGCATGTCAGGACAACTGGCCTCTGATGGGAATGCTCTGGGCACATATGTGAACCCCAAGATGGCCCAGGCAAGGGCACACGCTGCATCTGTCTGCTCCTCTACGGCTTCCTGACGAGCTGCAAGCACAGGCAGACACAGGAGGTAGAATGCAGCTTGTCCCCAGCACCCTGACCCCAGGTCTATGAGATGCCAGCCCTAGCTCTTCTGAATGCTTCCTTTCCCTGTCTAAGAAGAACAGGAATAAGGAACACCCTAGACACCCCACTGTTTTCAGTCCCATAGCGGGTGCTTCCCGAAGAGCCCCAGAGGCCATGACTAAGTCTTCAGTTATCAATGACAGGAAGTGTTTATTGAGTACCTGGTGTTTGTCTAGTTACACAGAAGGTAACGCTTACTGCTAGCATGTGGCTTCAACTTGGAGAAGTAGCTTTCCCGGCCCTAGAAAAGTCTATCTCCTCTGGCGTTTAAATGCAGAAAACTGCGAGGCTCCTGGTGGAGTTTGAGTTCCTCATATTTTGAACTGTCCTTTGATACCACAACCTCGATCATGGTCTGACTTTTCCGTAGCTAACAGTGATGTTTGAACACCGAGTCCATGAGGAAGAGGCCAATGCCTTACCAGAGACTACAAGCAACAGGAAACACTGAGTCCCAAGGGTGGGCGGAAGCTGGCCTTCGGGAGAGAAACAGGGAGATAGTTGGCCATTAGAGAGAGAGAGAGAGAGAGAGAGAGAGAGGAGAGAGAGAGATGAAAGCCCAGAGTAGCAAGGAACTAGAAGGGAGCACTATGGAGGCCTCGGTGTGTGATGAGAAATCTAGAGTTGGGATGTGTTCTGGTCTGGGCCTTGCAAAAATTAGGAGAGCCTTGAAAACTTCTGGGTCCATTTTTAAGAAAGAGCCAAGAAGAATTGGCCATTTGATGGGGTGAAGGAGAAATTGGGGCTAGAAACATGGCGAGAAGCAACAGCTGAAATGTATGAAGAAGTAAGTGCAGGGCTGCAGAGATGACTTAGTGGATAAGAGCAGTTGTTCTCTTGCAGAGGACCTGGGTTCGATTCCCTGCACCCACATGGAGGTGTAATTCCAATTCCAGTGGACCTGGTGCCCTCTTCTGACCTCTGCAGACACCAGGCATGCATGCTATACACATACATACATGCAAGCAAATCTCATAACATAAAGTAAAAAAACTTAATTCAAGGAAATTCTAAAGAAGCGCAGAAAGAGCAGCAGACCAGGCCTTTGAAGAGCTGACTGGAATAACAGGTCCCAGTCAGCGAGTGTCACTCAGGAAACTGGTCCAAGCAGAGCTGTCAGTCACCCTGCAGAGCACACTTGGCCCTTGAGTCACAGGTGGAAGCAGGCCCAGTCACACGTGCTGAGGAGACAGGAAGAAGGTGGGACTCTGGTTCCTGGGCAGAGGGGCAGGGCTTCCTGTGACAGGGCTGCCGCTTGGTTAGATCTGACCCCTGTTGTTCTGTCTCTTGGTGTTTTGAGTCACGTCCCCAGCTCCGTGTGAAACTCCTAAGGCTCTGTACGCACACTAGGAAAAGATGCTCAGTAAAGGCTCAGAGACGGGCAGGCATCTATGTAGAAGCGTCCACTGTCGCAGCTGTCTGTAGTGTCTTGGCAGAGCTGGGAGGTGGCAGCTAATCAAAATGAGCTTATCTCCTCTGAGAACAGTACCGCGTGTCATCCTGAGTGTTCCTGTAGAAAAATGTCATTGTTGTTTTGTTGTTTATTGGCCCAGGTTAGGCGTCAGAGAAGAGCAAGATCTGTCCAAGAGGGCCCAGGGGCCCCTACAGCCAGGACAGGGTTGGGATCTATTTTCAGAACCAATAAAGAAACTCAAGGCCTAACTCTCTGCCTCGCTTTCCCTCCCATAGTGCTGTGGTGCTTGATGGTAAAATTTATGCAACCGGAGGCATCGTGAGCAGCGAGGGACCAGCTCTGGGCAACATGGAAGCCTATGAGCCAACAACGAACACATGGACCCTCCTACCCCACATGCCCTGTCCTGTGTTTAGACATGGCTGTGTCGTGATAAAGAAATATATTCAAAGCGGCTGACATCGGCAGAGAGCCCAGGACAAGCCTATGGGGCGAGTCTGGTGAGGCAAACGCCACACACCATGGTTATCTTCCGACACCAACGAGAGGCCCACAGAACACAATCAAGAAACTCACTGCGCTAACATTTCGAATATTCTCTACATTGAATGTAGAAAATCATCCTCGCCTTTTGGGTGAAGCAGGGCACAGCGCTTCGGGCAGCAGGAACCTGAAAAACAGAGCCAGGGCTCGCTGGCCAGCCAAGGCGCTTGCTCTCAACAGGGGGCACTCGCTCTGCCCGGTGCAATAGTTTCACATATTTTTCAACTGGGAGAGAGGCTGTTTTTTTTTTCCTTCTTGCAGAGCAAGCTCAATCCCTAAACCACCATAGATCAATTATCCTGTGACAATATTGGGCATCAGGCTCTTTTGGAATAAGGTCAAAGTGTCCTTATCACTTTGATTCCTACTTTCTTTGTTTTTCGTTTTTGTTTTTAACCAATCTACACTTTCAAGTGGCCGAGAGAAAAAAACGAGGGACGGGGCTGTGCAGCACCAAGGCCTACGAGAGGGCTGGTTGCCACCAGACAGGAGAGAGGGCCAGCTGCAGAGCCAGGGCTGACAGCCGCAGGGATTGCTGGGAAGAGCCACCTGTCCTTCACGGATTTTTCTACCATGTTTTTGCTGCGAAGGGACATGGTGGGATGTGCTAGCTTTCTCTTAGCCAGTCTGAATTATTTAGATTTCCGAGGCATTTTTCTTGATACACAAAAGGCTATTTTTAAGTACCGAGAGGAGGAGGCCACAAGAGGGGCAACGCTGTGGGGCTTCCCAGAGCTCTTTGTAGGTAGTGCCAGAGGGGGGCACTGGCTCTCATTTTTCTATGTGCAGAATAGAGGAGCTCTCCTGAGGTGGGCCATGCCCCCACTTTATTTTTGGAAAAAGTTAACTCCCAGACAGCCCTGGAAGACTATGCCTCATTGAGGCATTGTCGGGGGGAGGGGGGGGAGAGGGTCTATTCTAGAAGAATGTAGTTCTGGCTTCTGACACCAGTCCAGCTCCCTCCGTGAGGTAAAGCTGAGGACCCAGGCCCAGAAAAGGGACTGAGGGAGGGAGGGAGGGAGGGAGAAGAAATGTCTACAAAGCACAGGAGACTATTTTTGATATTTATAGCTATATATTCAAGGCACCTGCCGCGAGAGCTCTCAGGATGGGGACAGCCTTCTTAGACGAGCCATGACAGCCACGGCCTGAGGGGCACGCCGAGAAACCGCTCTTATTGTTGCCTTGTTGGATAGCAACCTGAGAAAAGGGAAGCCAGGAAAAACCTCCCAATGAGGCTCAGAAGAGAAAGGCCTTCCCATTAGTCCTTAGACCCTCAAACCTCACCCGGTCCTCAGCTTCCGTTCCAGGGCAGGAAGAAGGCCGCCGCCACCGTGCTGTTTAGTTGAAGTTAGTACCAAATACACACCATTTTTCTACCTGGGAAGTCAGCTCGCCATGACCTCATAGTAAGAACCAGTGACAGAGAGAAAAAGAGACAGGATACACTCTCCATCATTCAGTATTGGATGACACAAAATTCCAGTCCTAACGACGGGCATCAACTTCTAGCATTACAAGTGCGGCTCCCACTTGACAAGATACCGAGCTTCGTTATGCAGTTTTTAATATTATTTATTATTTAAAAAAAGTAATAAGCACAAAACTACATACATTGTATGTCATTTAAAAGTATTTATGTCAAACAGGGTGCAAGCGTGAACCCAAGGACTGGAGCACAAATTTCTAACTGCCTGGGGCAGGGTGAATGTGAGCATTGGCGTGCGTCTGCCTCCAAGGGAGGTGCTAGTGGTGAAGAGGACTCCGCGGAGGACACTGAGATTCCGTTTCTCTCCTCATCGATCACACTGGAGCAAACTGGCTATTTCTGTGAATGACATAAAACAGGGTTCTCTGTAATGGTATTGTATATAGTATATGTTTATTGTTAAGTTGTTATATTATAATAAATATATTTATAGATCTAGACTGGGAAGCTGATGCAATGTCTTTGTGTGCCACCGCCTTTGCCTCAGTGACACCACACCCCGGCACAAGCCTGCCATTCCTCTTGGCCGCCAAGAGTACACGTCCCCTTCTAGACGGCGGCCGTGTAGGTTTCGATGACTGGAGAGGACAGGTTTGCAAGGGGACGGGAGAGGAACAGTAACCAATAAAGGACAGCTGAAGGTCAAAGTTGAAAGGACTTTCAGACACAATGGAATTGACCCGAGACTATTCCCTTCACCTATGCACGTCTGATCATAGCCATGCATCTGGAAGCGCCATAGCTTTCTTCCCCCACCCCTTTCTCTCCTGCACTGGAGCCATTTGCTTCTCAATTCATCGACCTAGCAGGAGCCACAAGACACTTTCCTCTAGGAAGAAACATCGAGTGTGATTTCCGTGCTAAGAACCAGGTCGGGTGACCTCCCCACTTCCTCTTTTAGTCTGTCACACAAACACACATTGCTATGCCCAGGACACCTAGGCAAGGTTTATTTAGTGTGAAATGTGGAATGCCTCTCTCAGGAAGGATGCTTACAAAAGAGGGCAGGTTTTCCAAAGTAGTCACCTACAGGAAGCCTCCATGCCCTTAATCCTTAAGTTTTACCAAGATCTAGTGTCTCCTTAAAAGCAAAAGCCTAATATGGTGGGAAGAGGAGGCGTTGATGCCTTGAGATGAGTGGACCATATGTCTATCAGATAAACATTTCCCTGGGAACATCAATCCTGCAAGACAAGATGGAGGCTGTCCAGTGGATGCCAGTCATGAAGAGCTAAAATGATAACTTGTGGTAAAAGCAATATGCCAGCTCCATTCTTGTCTACTCCATTTTCTTTTTATCAAGGGAAATGCTCTCGTGGTCCATGAAGAGTCTCTGTGTTTTATACCTAACTCTGGTGGTAATCAGATTCCATTTTTACCATAACAAGGCAGGTGCGTCCACTGGAGTAGGGAAGCCACCGTGATAACCATCAAGGTACAACCACCTGATATAACAAAGAAGGTTAGAAGACAGTCCACATTGTGGATTTTTTTAAAAACCTCAGGAGAGCAATCAGAATGATCTATTGCTTGTGTGGTAGAGTATTTTAGTTAAAGGGACCAGGTCATACAATTGGAAAATGTTAGTTAAGTAGAAATAACGGTTAGATCAAAAAAATTTAACATTAATTAAAAAGGTGCTGGCAGATAGAATCCAAAAGGTTTTTTAAAAAAGCTCAACACTGAAACTCAGCAAGGAATGAGGTAATGCCTAGTAGCTATTAAGTTGACTCCCTACACCCACCTGTAGGGGGAGCTGTGCTGGGGAGGTGCATGAGACCCTACAGAAGCGCTGAGGGTTCTGCAGATGAGACAGCAGGTGGCAGGCACCGCACATATCAGGAGCCTGAGGAGCACTGAGATAATCACTTCTAGGCGTAAAGAAATGACGTGAACTCTAGGAGAATAATGCTAACAGGGTATGTAAGATTGACAAGGTCTTGTTTGTTGACACTAATGATGTACTAGCCACCATACTAAGCACACAGAGCACTGGATCCCCACAATTCAGGTACGAAAGACACACACACACAAAAAAAAAAAAAAACAAAGAAAATCCATCTCTGTACAAGACTGTAGCTTAAGATGTGCGGCTATGTGCAGAAGACACATGCTTGTGTATAGATGTACATAGATGAACCCAGTTCACAAGACCGCCTAGACCTGCGCTCTGACGACTTTGAGACCAGGGTCCTTCTTCCCCAAGCTACCTCAGAAACCTTTACCTTCATACAAAGGTAAAGGTTTGTACCTGCACCCCAAGCGTGCAGCCCTATCATTGTACTCATGGAATCGCGAGTATATATTCTTCCCTCTTTTCAAGAATTTATATACCTATAATTATATAGTTACTTATGTAATAAAAAGATAGATATGCTATGCATTTTTTTCTTTTGTCCTTTTTCCTGCAGCGTTACAGGATCACACCCAAGGGCTGCATGTTAAGTGACCACTTTGCCCCCAATCCCTATAAAGTGCTTCCGTGGTAACGAGAGACAGAAAGTAATGTTTCCTGAGCTTCAATCCAAGAAATTCGTGTGTGTGTGTGTGTGTGTGTGTGTGTGTGTGTGTGTGTGTGTAAGCTGTAAGAAATAGTAAGAAATTCTTTGTGTGTGTACGTGTATATGTATATGTGTGTGTAGATAAGCAGTAAGAAATTGTGTGTGTATGTATGTGTCTGTGTATGTATGTGTGTGTATGTGTGTAGATAAGCAGTAAGAAATTCTTTATGTATGTGTCTGTGTGTATGTAGGTGTGTGTCTATGTCTGTGTATGTATGTGAATGTGTGGAGAAGCAGTAATCAAAGGATTCAAAATAAAGGATCTGAGAAAATTAAAAATAAGAAAACAGATTGCCACATATTAATGCTAAACTCTGGGGTACTTTATCAAGATCTGCTCTTTGCTTCGTCCTCCTCATTTTTCTCCTCTTCCTCCAGAATTAGAGATTAACAAGTTTCATGCATGGTGAGCAAGGACCCTAGAGTGCACTGCATTCCTCTCTCTCTCTGTCTCTGTCTCCCTCCCTCCCTCCCTGCCTTCTTCCCTCCCTGCCTCCCTCCCTCCCCCCCCCCCAGTAAAATGCTCCCTTGGCACGACTGCACACAGCATCCCGTATGCCCTCAGCTGCCTCGGCAGCACAGGGTGCCATCTCCACACTGAATAACATGAAGGAGGTCATCGGTACAGAGACCATCAGAGGACATGAATGGAATGTGACCTTAGTCCCAGCACAGCCCTACAGAAGACACCCAGGTAAACCCACCAGACTCCGAGACTTCAACAAGTCAGCCGGTGGCCTGTCAGTGTCCAGGGCCAGCTCGCTGACTCGAGAATCCCTGCTAAGCACATGGTTCCCCAAGGCAGCCCCGGCTTAGCTCTTGACTCCAAAACCAAGTCTCCTTCCTTTCCATCGCCTGTATTTAAATTCAAAAATGTACACAGCGAGCCTAGCATTCCACTAAAATACCACATTAAAACATAGATTCTACTGCATCCTTGTCTTGACATGCACATTGGTGTTAGCAGACCAACTTACAGCCAACTCCAGTCAGAAAATCTTGGGTCTAATAATCTACTTTTTTTGTTTCTGAGGATCACTAAGTTCAATAAATGTGGAAATCTTTATAGTATATATAGTATAGCAGACCAGTGATCTGGAATGGAGATTTAACTGTGTGAAAGGCAATTGCTTCCTTCCTTTTAAATACAACCCATGAAGCACCTTTAGTAATATATGGTAACTACAAAGCCACCAGACAAGTGAATGGCACTCCCTTTAAATGCATGGAAGATTTTGCGACTCCCTGCCCCAAATACCTTTATTTCAGCATACTAAGTACAATTATGGATTGTCTTATTTTCTTCCTTTCATCCTTTTTTCTCTAAACAACCCAGGCTGCCCTCAAAATGACTTATGTAGGCAAAACTGGTCTTGAATTTCTGACCTCTCTGCTGCTGCCACACAAGTGCTGGGATTACTGACATCTGCTACCAAGCCAAGCTCTTGCATTTATTAAAATGCTAAAATAAAAAAATTTAATTTTCTTTCTCAGAGAACCTTAAGCTACAAAGTAACCATACACAGGGTTTAGAAATACTGAACTCTCATCCTGAGTTGACTTTTTTTTGCCACAATGAGAATATTGCAAAGGCCCTATGCTGTGGTGGCCAAGGAAATATGAGTGGCACTCACAGGCTTTGAGGGAGTTCAGAGGATCTTGGGACTGTGTTCTTGTCTGTAACTTTTGGACTCCAAATATACAAGTTTGGAGCAATGGTTACTGATTTACCATTGCTTGAGAACTCAGAATGTCAAGGGCATAGCTAGGGTTTCTGTTGCTGTGAAGAGACACCGTGACCATGGCAACTCCTACAAAGTCAAACATTTCATTGAGGCTGGCTTACAGTTCAGAGGTTTAGCCCATCGCCATCACAGCGGGAACCATAGTAGCATGCAGGCAGACCTGGTGCTGGAGAGGAACTGAGAGTTTTGCATCGGAGTTGAAGGCAGCAGACAAGACTGCCACACTGGTCTGGCTTGAGCTTCTGAGACTTCCAAGCCTACCCCATAGTGATGCAGTTCCTCCAAAAAGCCAAATTTACTCCCACAAGACCACACCTCCTAATAGTGTCACTCCCTATAGACTTCTGGGGGCCATTTTATTCAAGTCACAAGCCTTTGATAAATTAGATCAAAAACATTACCTCATTGGGCATTTCCTTCATCATTATCTGAATCCATTATACCTATGAAACCATAAACCCTACACTTTGCAAGTCTCTTCTGCATTCACATGTGCATGGGCCTGCTTAACCTGCTAGATTTTTGTTGTTGAGACAAGGTCTTTTGTATCCCATTCTGATCTCTAACTGGTTATACAGTCAAGGGCAAGGGTGGCCTTGAACTTCAGATTCTTCTGCCTTTACTTCTGAGCCCTGGGATCACAGGCATATGCCAACGCAGCATTTCGGGCATGCTAGGTGAGCACAGCCACATGTGCAGCCCCTGCATTTCCTCTTTAAGTCATCATCTTTACTTTTTGATGCTTTCCAATGTCTCCCAATTGAGAAGCTATACCCGGAGTTTGTTTCTCAGAAACGCATCCCTCCTCTTTTTTTTTTTCTCCCCCACCTCCACCCCAAGACAGGGTTTCTCTATGTAACAGAGTCCCAGCAGTCCTGGAACTCCCTCTGTAGACCAGGTTGTCCTCAAACCCAGAGATCCACCTGCCTCTGCCTCCAGAGTGCTGGGATTCAAGGCGTGTGTCACCACTGCCCAACTTGCATTCCTCTTCCTGATAGCTCATCCTTCTAACACCCAAGTCCTTCTGACAGATCCAGAAAACAAACCACAGTCCTAGTCACCTAACCTCTGTGGCTTCTTTGGGGTAGAGAGCCGCAGGGCTGGGGAAAATGTATTCACATTGATTGACACCTCAGGCTTGCCTCACTCTGACTCTAAGCCTGTGCTTCTTATTACCCTTTACGTTTCCCATTCACCACGCTCTCTGCAGACAAGCTTA